TCTTAGTTGGTATCATTAATCCTAATTATATTAGTCCACACCAGAAGCCAGGAAGTTTCAATAAGGCCAGCTATTTTACAGAAATTAACACCAGCTATTTTACAGAAATTAACACCAGCTATTTTACAGAAATTAACACCAAAGTGCATGAAAGGACTGCTAAAATTCCAAAGTCAAGAATTCCAAGAGTGGAAACTCCAGTGCCTCTTACAGACTTTCAGAAGTGTCCCTGGAGGTCACACAGAAGTTTCTCCAGGATCCCACCTCACTCAGAGGATGGGGATTTGGTCAGACACCTCTGCCTGTTCTCCCTTTCAGCCCATGACCCCGAGCATAACTTGTTCAGAGAACCCCTGCAGAATAAGGAAATCTAATTATTCCAGGTATCCCTAGTGCTAGGACCAGCCACAGAGTATTACTCAGAATCTTAATGAGTTCAAATAATTTATGATAATAGTCAGCAATAATGAGTTCAGCTGCAAGTTCAGGTGATGCACTTGGAAAGTAAAGCCAGCACCCTTCGAAGTGCTTTGCTACCCTGGGTGCCCTGAGGCTGCTAGGCCTTGGCTTTTCTCTGACATAACCAGACCCTTTCTAGGGCATCACATCATGTCCCACATCAGGTTCATCTTTCAGCAGCAGGTGGGAATTCTACTTCTGCACATCTCCACCAAGTTTTCCCTTGGTGGCCAAAGGTGCAAAGTCTGCCTGATTTCATTTTTTTTCCCTTGGTCAGGAACACAACAGGACAAAGAGCAGCAGAAACCATTTTTACCTTGACAAAGTGATCCCCTTTCTCTGGAACACTTTTCCACCACCAAGCCCTCACAGCAGGGCTTTGCCAGCAGAATCTGAGCCACTCCAAGACCGAACGTCATCCTTTGCACTGAGGAGTTAAAAAGGTGTTTTAAAAGCCTGTCTCCTACTGACCTGCAGTACCACCTCCTTCTTCTTGGCAGCCATCCTTCTGCAAGGAACGGGGGTCTTTTGAGCAGCAGTCCCCTCAGAGAGCTCTGCAGATGTCCTCTAAGCAGGGGGATCCAGCCGCTGGCCGATCTGCACCGCAGAGAAAGGTTTTCACCCCTCGGCTCCGCTGGACAC